ACAGCGAGTGTGGTTATTAAATGAAACAAGGTGCCTGAGGCAGAAATTGTGTCTTATTTATTACTGGTTCCTCAGCATTTTGTGCCAGTTTGATAAACAAAAGGTGTTGAAATGGAACAAATGAATGACTTCTCCCAATACATGACTGTAGGAATGGAAGCTTAATAGAAATCAGAGGTTCATGCATTCTAAAATATTAAGTCAGGTGATTATACAAGACAGGACGAAAATATAACTTTAAAAACCACATTGATATGGTTCGGTGTTGTATCACAATGGTTTAACCTGCTGCCTGCGACACTGGCTTCTGGTATGAGTGCTGGTTCAAGTCCTGGATGTTCCACTTCCAATCCGGCTTCCTGCTAATGTGCCTGGGAAAGCAGCAGAAGATGCCCCAAGTACTTGGACCCCTGCTACCCACACCAGAGACCTGGGTGTAGTTTCAGGCTCCTGGGTTCAGCTTGGCCCAGCTCCAGCTGTTGTGGTCATTTTGGGAGTGAACCAACAGATGGAAGAATGATTTCTCTCTCTGTGTCCTTCCCTTTCTCTGTAACTCTGCCTTTCAAATAAATAAACACATTAAAAAAATCAAGATTACACTGATTAATTTAATGGTGACCTTGAGGTACATACCATACTCCTATACTGTTCAAAGGATCTTTAGCATTTGCTGTCAGGGTCTTTATTACAGTCTCATGACTATGTCAAATGAAACCAAATATTCATAATTAAAGTCAAAGATTTTCCATCCCTCTAGACTCACTCAGAGCTATGCTTTTAGAATAAAAAAGTCAATGTTCATGTAATGAATAATGCATTCTAGAATCAAATATTTGAGATGACCAGGCTGCTTGTATACAAAACCTGTTGTAAAAATCTCACATATTAGTAAAATGAATTAGTCATTAGTTAATAAGGTAAAAGAAATCTTTGACATGTTTTTGTTGCACATGATTTTCATATAGAGTCACATGAGCACATGTAATAATGGTTTATACTTTACATAGAAAATAAATAATTATAAGCTAAATTGTGCTGGACTTTTTTTTAACAATTAAATAATGTTGTGCTCTAAGAAAAACACCCAATGTCTCTGATCTCTGTAACACAATCAGGCATGTTACAAAATTGAGAAGAGGTAATCATTGAGATACACATTTTGAGATGTGCTAGAATGGCTACTGCCTGGCTGCCACTTGAGTTACCTTATAGAGCACCAGAGGGCATGGGCCAACAGTATAGACAGACATACTATTTTACTTATTTCATTTTAAAACTATGATGACTTTATCTTTTCCTTGACCCTTTTCAGAAAGTTAGCTTCACAGTGATGCTTCTGTCTTTTCAATTAAAAGATACCACAATGACACCTTCTCTTTAGAATTCAGAAATGGGGCTAGCCACCTCCACCTTACCACTTCCTCTCCTTTCACGAATGTTAACATCATAGTCATTCAAATTTCTCTCTCTTTTAAAGATGTATTTATTTATTTGAAAGAGTTAACAGAGAGAGAGAGAGAGAGAGAGAGAGCGAGCGAGAGAGAGATCGATCTGCTATCTACTGGTTACCTTTCTAGATGGCCACAATGGCCAGTGCTGGCCCAGGCCAAAGCCAGGAGTTAGGAGCTTCATTCAAGTCTCCACATGACTTTCCCAGGTGCATTAGAAGGCAGCTGGATTGGAAATGTAGCAGCTGGATCTTAAACTGGTGCTTGTAGAGGATGCAGTCATACAGGTGGCAGCTTAACCTGCTATGCCACAGTGCCACCCCCTATTTTTTCTTCTTCAATAATATTACTCTCTCAGGGCTTCCAAAGACTACTGGACATGGAACAGTGCTTTACCCAGGATGCAGAGTGCTATACAAAGTGTTTCTGGATAACCAACTGATATTGGGATTTGGACAATTTCAATCAGTCTTTGATAACTAAGTTTTATTAAATTTGATAGCATTTACGTACTTAAACACTGAATAATGTCTTCTGTGATCACTACATATCTACACATCGAGCACATGGCTATAAAGTCACATCTGGAAAGAGGTTATAGCTGTTCATGAAGCCCTTTCCCCTCAATGCTCCACTGAAGTATCAAAGAAAATCTGCATTTTCAAAATAAATTTTTTGTTGACAGGCAGAGTTAGACAGTGAGAGAGAGTGAGAGAGAGAGAGAGACAGACAGAGAGAGAGAGAGACAGAGACAGAGAGAAAGGTCTTCCTTTTCCGTTGGTTCACCCCCAAAATGGCCACTACAGCCGGTGGGTGTGCTGCGCCGATCCGAAGCCAAGAGCCAGATGCTTCCTCCTGGTCTCCCATGCGGGTGCAGGGCCCAAGCACTTGGGCCACTTGGGCCATCCTCCACTGCCTTCCCGGGCCACAGGAGAGAGCTGGACTGGAAGAGGAGCAACCAGGACAGAATCCGGGGTGCCGGCACTGCAGGCGGAAGATTAGCCTAGTGAGTCGTGGCGCCGGCCCTCAAAATAAATTTTAACCTGGTATGGTGGTGGTTTATAGATGTCAATTCCCTGAGGCCAAAGCAGTAACTCTAAATATTTTTGGAAAGGTAAGGGTGGGAGATTAATTCTGAATTATATAATAAAGCTTTAGAGCTGAAATGGACCTTGTTGATATTTATTATAATCATCACATTTTATAAATAAGGAAACAGAAACATTAAAAAGTAGAACTACATGGCCGAGATCACTTTGCCAATTAAAGGGAAGGCCAGTAATGAAATCCTAACTTCTGCTTACTAGTTTGGTAATCTATTATATAATAACAGCTAAAGCAATAACAGCAAACATTTATGATGGCCTACTAGTTGCTAGGCTCAATATTAAGTACTTCAGAATTATTCATGAGTCATCTCTTCATTTTCTCAACACTATGAAATTAATATTCATCTCATAAGTGACAAACCCAGATTTGCCATACTATCGAGAGAGGCTGCACTATGTAGTCACATGATGAACACATTTAAGTTATACAAATTCACCAAATAAAACTTACAGAGGGACCATACACATGCCAGAAATATGGATTCACCTTTCTCTCCATTCCAAAAAAAAGCTTTGTTTATTGCTAGGACTGTGGCCTTGGGCAAGTTACTTCTCTAAGCTTAGGTTCCCAGGTTCCCTATCTCTAATACAGACTGTAACATTCCCTATAGATTCGTTAATAGGATGAAATGAGGCAAGGCATTTAAAGCAGACAGTGATCACTATACATCTATAAAGGCACAGGTCATAGCTGACCTGTTCATATGAGGCCCCTTCCCCTCCTTTCCTCTGCCTTTTCTATCATCTCCCAGCAAGGGTCATTGAAGCCATCCACCCATAGAGCAACTTCAGCTGAGTGAACCTAATTAAGATTTAGGACTTAAGAATTAAGATGAATTTTTCAAACCTTGCATCCTGTCAAAACAGGTAGGCAGATTTCCAACAGGTATGTGGGCATGAGTCCTTGAATGACATAATGGAGCGTTCTATTAGCTCAGCACCACCCCATCTCCAGTATCCTTGAAGTGTCTGTTATGTTATAGGACTCAGTGAGTGAGTGCAGTTTGATGAAGGGTGGCAGGGGTTGCTGGTCAATGCTTAACAACATGCTCTCACAATGGGAGAGATGATTGAGGGCATTTACAGCATATGTGGTGTAAATACTCTCACCATGGTCCATTTAAGCCACCAGTAGTTTAACTACAGTCTTACAAAGCTCCTTAAAGCCTTCTGAGCCAGTTAAGTGCCAGCCAGCTCCAGCACACTACTGGATGGCCAGTCAGCAGTATGGTCTACTACCGCATTCTAAAGCAGGAGACTTGTATTACACCTTGGCAAGAGCCTAGAGTTTCCCACTTCTTTGAGCTGAACACTGATCACTATATCTGCCATCTACTCTCCAGGTTCCTACTGTGTAAAACGTTCACCTTGAAGCTCAGAATGAAGCACCCAGACTTCCCAGTTAGACCAATTCTCCAATGCTTCACTGATGGCTTCCAGCTCCTAAATGGGACCGCCTGATAGTAATAAAATGCTTGAACTATACCTGGGCCTGTGGCTAGGATCCTTATCCAAAACTGAGTCTTAGTTGACGCAACTACCATCTCCAGTCTTTGTAGCCAAATCATCTAGTCTTCACCAACTCAGGAAAAAGGTCTCTCATACCTTCTTTGATCCTCCTGCCATTGGCCCTTGTTACTTAACAGATGGTCTCAAATTTGAAGTTCTGCTTACTTCCCCAGTCTCAACAGGCATGAAGCTTCAAAAGTTCTATATAAATATTATAGTAAAGGATTGCGGTATAATCTAGTTCTAGGGAAGGTATGGAGGGGAGAGCCAGAGCCACCTAGCCAACACTATTAATAAACAGCTTCATTGCAGATGTACAAAAATCTTAAAATCTGCAGGAGATGGGAGGGTTGCGAGTGGGAGGGAAGTGATGGGGGGGAAAAGCCATTATAATCCATAAACTACTTTGGAAAATTATATTCACTAAATAAAAGTGTTTATAATAAAAAAATCTTAAAATCATCTTAATTTATTAATAGAACTTATTAATTACTTATTTCATGCTGCTGCAGCAAGATGACTGAATCAAAAGACCACCAAAACAATGCACATCATGTACAGTCCACCATTTTGTTTCTGAACAGTGGCACTAACTTGGAAAGCATACCTCTGGATCGTTATATGAAAAAGGTTATGCTTCCCACACAATGCAAATTGTTGAGCTTCTCTAGAGCCAAGAGAGTCCCTGTTTCATTCAGCTCCTAAACAAAAATGAATATTCAGTAGCACGGTGAAAACACTCAGGCTAAATACATCCCAACACAATCCAAAAACTTACTTAAACCATGGAACATGAACTTTACATATTCTGTAGAGAAAGAAATCTTGTCTGGTCTGCCAGCTGTCTCATGCTTGATCAATTCTGGAACTATGAGAATAAAACTTATGATGTAGCGGTAATGACTAGCACTGCAGTGAGTCTGAAGTCACTTACCCGTGCATTTGTAATCAGAGGCTACCCCTTTAAGGACAGCATCAAAAATAGATATTTCCACTCGCTGCTTTCTGTGGTGACAACTCAGAAGCAAGGAAGGCTGGGACACAACGAAGTACAGGAAAGGTTCTAGCTCTAAGTCACCGGTTCCTCTTCGACCAGGCTGCCGGACGATAGTGATACCAAGCGCCTGTCTAGCAGATGACCTTGTGGATGCGTGCAGACTTTCCAGAGAGAGGATACCTATTTTTTTCCCTGATGGAAAAGATATGCTGCTGCTCAAGAGATCTTCTGCTGTCACGGTGGAAATACATGCCTGGCTGGGCTTCATAACTTTGGAATCAACTTCTGGGAGATCTGATGAACTCTTGTCTGTTTTTTCATCATCCTTCTGTTCTGGTGATTTCGGTTTGGGTAATGCGGTACAGGAATAGGTCATTAGTGAGATTCGACTTGCAGTAATAAATATGTCAAAGGGAATAAAATTTAGATTTTTTACAATTGATGACTGGCGTGAAGGACGGGCAATGCGGTGCTGACTGGCCCCACTGTGTTGCTCTATTTGTACTATTCTGATTTTAACACTGTCACTGCCAATTCCACTATCCTGAGCACCACTGTACCGAGATGAGGTTTCAGCCATGCCTCCATCAAATGTATCCATTTTCTTCTGTTCTTGTTTAGAAATCTGTAAGGAAAAATAATGAAATAGTTCAAACTAGTTGCATGCCAAGTGTTATTATAAGAAAAATGTCATAACCATGTTGTTGGAAAGGGAATTTAAAAAATGGGTCTACTATAACTTTTTTTTTTTTAATTTTTTGACAGGCAGAGTGGACAGTGAGAGAGAGAGACAGAGAGAAAGGTCTTCCTTTGCCATTGGTTCACCCTCCAATAGCCACCGCAGCCGGCACACCGCGCTGATCCGATGGCAGGAGCCAGGAGCCAGGTGCTTTTCCTGGTCTCCCATGGGGTGCAGGGCCCAAGCACTTGGGCCATCCTCCACTGCACTCCCTGGCCACAGCAGAGGGCTGGCCTGGAAGAGGAGCAACTGGGACAGAATCCGGCGCCCCGACCGGGACTAGAACCAGGTGTGCCGGCACTGCAAGGCGGAGGATTAGCCTAGTGAGCCGCGGCACCGGCCTACTATAACTTTTAACATAGTAATCACAAAAACAAAGTAAGTGCCTATTCAAAAAAGATTTCACCTTAAAATGCCAAAGAATTACTAGCAAAAAAGCCTGATATGTGCATTTCTTCCATGAAAATAACACGAGTTCCAGACTTTCTTTCTTTGGATTAATAGAAGTAGCACATATTTTTTAAAATGCCTCTTTAAAAATTATTTTGGCTAATATTCTTTTTTTTTTTTGACAGGCAGAGTTAGTGAGAGACAGAGAGAAAGGTCTTCCTTCCATTGGTTCACTCCGCAAATGGCTGTTGCGGCTGGTGCGCAGTGCCGATCCAAAGCCAGGAGCCAGGTGCTTCCTTCCTGGTCTCCCAAGCGGGTGCAGGGCCCAAGGACCTGGGCCATCCTCCACTGCCTTCCCGGGTCACAGCAGAGAGCTAGACTGGAAGAGGAGCAACCAGGACAGAATCCGGCACCCCAACCAGGACTAGAACCCGGGGTGCCTTGGCTAATATTCTTTATAGTAATTTTCTAAGCAGTGCAGTAAATTGTTTCCAAGTCATGATTTTTGTTGCTGAAAATATAGTTTGGGGGGCTGGTGCTGTGCATCCTACTGTGGTGCCAGCATCCCATATGGGCGCTGGTTCATACTCTACTTCTGATCTAGCCTCCTGCTAACGGCCTGGGAAAGCAGAGGATGGCCCAAGTGCTTGGGCCTCTAAACCCACGTGGGAGACCCTGAACAAGCTCCTTGCTCCTGGCTTTAGATCGGCCCAGATCTGGCCATTGTGGACATTTGGAGAGTGAACCAGCAGTTGGAAGACCTCTCTGTCTGCAGCTCTGCCTCTCAAAAGAAAATAGTTTGAGGCTGGCACTGTTGGCATAACAGGGTAAGCCTCTGCATATGATGCCAGCATCCCAAATGGGCACTGATTTGAGTCCTGGTTGCTCCACTTTCCATCCAGCTCTTTGCTAATGGCTTGGGAAGGCAGTGGAAGATGGCCCAGGTGCCTGGGCCCCTGTACCCACATGGGAGACCAAGAAGCAGCTCCTGGCTCCTTGCTCCAGATCAGCCTAGCTCTGGTTGTTGCCACCACTTGGGGAGTGATGGAAGATCTCTCTGTCTGTAACTCTGCCTCTCAAATAATTTTTTTTTAAAAAAAGGAAATATAGTTTATGTAGGAGTTGTTTATATTATATACTTGGCCTGTTTATAAAACTGACTTACAGGTTTTTGGATAATAAGAAAGACAAGGAAAACTCAGTAATCCTAAATTATGCAATACAATGAAAAGTAACTAAAATAAATGCATGCCATAGAAAAAGATGTTTGTATTCCCTACCACAACAGGATTTGGAAAATAAGCGTAAATATAAGTGATCAAGTTAAATCAAGCCAGTAATGAACTAAGCAATTAAAATTTTTGAAGGCAAATTTTTTTCCCTCATGCAATAAAGTTCTCAACATTTCCCATCAATGCCTCCCTAGGTAGAGGACAAAGACCGACCAGGGTCATCTTGCAGCGAGACTCCACGACCTTCAGACCTTTCCCAACCAGTATTTTTCAGCACTGATATAATTCACTTGCTCCTTCAGTGACATAATAGAGAATCATTGAAAGAATCATGGAAAAACTGTAGGAATAAAGAAAAACTCAAAATCCTCCCCATCACCATCTTATCACCAAAGGTAGCCAATGGTAATATCTTAGTGCACTTTCTTTCCGTCCTTTTTCTCTACCCATGCATGGGTTCCCCAAAGCCATATCCCTTGGTGTTAAAACATGGAGACAACATTTGAAACTCAATATATTGACATACTAAATATACTCTTTATAAATATAATTTTAAAAACTGTTCAATACTTCATTTTGTTAGGAACAATTTGTTCAACCATTCCCATATAATCAAAAAATCAAGTTTTAAATTTTTGTCAACAAACATCAATGCTAAGCATCTGGTAATATTTCTTTAGGACAGGATCCTAGAAGTAGAATTAATGGTGAGAAAAAATTGACATTTACTGAATATCATCACCTACTTTTCTTCAAAAAGCTTCACTAATTTACATTATTACCACAAATGGAAAAATATCCCCAGTACTGAGTAACTGGGTATAGCTTATCATTTTTCAAATCCTTTTTAATTTGGTAAAAATGTCAATTCTCTACATGCCTCAGATTTGTATAAGCTACTTATAATGGATTCTTGGTGAAAATATAAAGAACTAATAATTCAAAAATGATGTAGAAGTCATTAGAGTTTTTTCAAGTATTTCTAACTGCTGTTACAGTTGTTGATGAAGACTCATTGCTAAAACATCCCAACCTCAGCTATTTGAAACAAAAACAACTTAGCCCTGCTCTTGGAAGACAGCGTGTTCTCTTAAAGTGTTCTGTCTATTCTGCGCTCCTTCTCTGTTTGCAGCGTCCCTCTGGGCTGGCGTAGTCACCCAAGACAAATGACATTCATCGAGAATTGCTCTCTCTTTTCCTTCTTGATGATCTTAGTATTTCATTCGTGGTTCTATCATAGGATGCATTATATTCCACTAAAACGCTCTGTGGTGATAGTATTGGGACAGTGCTAAAGCAAAATATCAGCTTTGTCATCAGACCTGGGAGGTACATGATTGAAGTTCAATCCTAATGGTGTGACTTCGGACAAATTACAAACCTCTCCAAGGCTACATCATCTTAGCTGTAAAACGGGGATAAGAAATCCTACCTTACAGGGTTACTAGAGGATCAGTGAGCTAAAGAAGTCAACACAGTGCCTAGCACACAGAAAACACTCAACAACAGGTAGCTATTACGTGTCTAGCGGAAAACTGCTAGAGGGAATGAACCATTCCATTCTGCTTCTGTGTATTGCTAAAGGGCAGAGCACTGAACAGATGCCATAAATGTTGGACATGTTTGTTTCTTATATAGTCTTTTTTATTTAAAGATTTATTTTATTTATTTGAAAGAGTTACAAAGAGAGGTAGAGCCAGGGAGAGAGAGACAGAGAGAGGTCTTCTATCTGCTGGTTCACTCCCCAAATGACTGCAACGGCCAGAGCTTAGCTGATCCAGAGCCAGGAGCTTTTTCTGGGTCTCCCACACAGGTGCAGGGGCCCAAGGACTTGGAACATCTTCTACTGCTTTCTCCAGGCCACAGCAGAGAGCTGGATCAGAAGTGGAGCAGCCAAGACTTGAACCAGCGCCCACATGGGATGCTGGTGCTGCGAGCCGGGACATTAACCGGCTGTGCCACAGTGCTGGCCCCAATAGAGTCTTAAATGAAAAAAACAAACAAACAAACAAAAAGCCCTGTGGACTACAATTGCATGACTGTAAAGATGTAAATATATGTGGGTGAAGTCCAATACCGCATTCTTTGGGGTCTGAGAGAGGAGTCCTTCCTGATCTGCATCCTCTACCTGTGGGATGACCACACTTCAAGAAATCCACTCAGTCTCTGCTAGGTCTTCATTCTGACATTAGTACATTGATATCCATCCCATATGGTTGCTGCATTAAATATGTTAATGTACTGAATATATGTATGTGTGTGTGTATGGTACACACAGGTACTCAATAAAGGGTAAAGCAAAAAACAAAAACAAAAATAAAATCCTTCCTGTTTGTGCAGAGTTCAGCAACTTTTCCAGGTAGTGGTAGTCTTTCCTGCTTCCATAACTAGCTACTATTATCATAGCACTATTCATAAGGCATTCTGTCTCTGAGCAGTTGAAGAAAAAGTAGATGGCACTGAGTATGTTCACTGCTGTTCTCATGTACGCTTTATTATGTGTTACAACCCTTTGAGAGGTAGCACTCTTATACCATTTTATAGTTAAATGTATTAATCCATAGGTCCAAGGTCAGATAGCAAGTAGGCTATGGGTAAAAGGTAGCATTCGATAACATACCTTTCTGTTCGTCATATAGGAGAGCTTAATAACTGTGTATTGACTGAATATATGAATAAAAAGATTTCATTTAAAACTCAATAAAATGAAAATAAAGGTAACTGTGATCAAAGTAAGAGTTTACTTTTAAAGTTTTACTTATCCTTATTACAAATTTTTAAATATATCTCCAAATCCATTACCAATCAAGAATTCCCAAATAACAAGCAAAAATGCAATAAAATCAAATATATAACTTAAATAATCCAGGGCATACTGTACATGTTTTGAGGCATTATAAATATCTATAAATAATTTGAGTAAAAAGTCCTTGAGGGTGGCTTGTGCTCTGGCATAGTGGGCTAAGTCTCTGCCTGTGGCGCCAGCATCCCATATGGGCGCTGGCTTGAGTCCTGGCTGCTCTTCTTCTGGTCCAGCTCTTTGTTTGTGGCCTGGGAATACAGCAGAAGAAGGCCCAAGTGCTTGGGCCCTTGCATCCATGTGCGAAACCCAGAAGAAGCTTCTGGCTCCTGGCTTCAGATCAGCTTGGCTCTGGCCATTGTGACCATGTAGGGAGTGAACCAGCAGATGGGAGACCTTTCTCTCTGTCTCTCCCTCTCTGTCTATAACTCTACCTTTCAAATAAGTAAATAAATCTTTTTATT